AGCTTTCCAAATAAACTTCAAAGCAGGAACACTTCCTTTTGGTAGGGAAGGGCTGGCTACGAGTGGGAGCTCTGAATGTCACCGTCTAATCACTTCCTTCCTGCCGTCAGGACTCTCCCCCACGGCTGGGGGGGTTCTCTTTCCTTTGTTTCCTACCAGAAAAGCCTCATTAAACACAAGAAGGCTCCGGGGAGAGGGCTCAGAATGGGCTGCTCCTCACCTCTCTCCCAGTCAGTGTTACTCCTTGCAGAAGGCTTGGCTCCTCGGCAGCCTAGGAGAGCTGCGCTGCCTCTGGGCAGAGCAGCAAGCACAGCAAGGGAAGTCACACCTTAGGGAAGGACACCTAGGGGCTCCTGGCCTGCTGTCCCTGTCCCCACCACACTCCCAATTCCCTTAATTATACAATTAAGTGTAATCCAGAAACACGTGTCTTTTGGAAATAGGACTGACCCTTTGAAAGTGACGCACCATGAAGGTGAACTTACGAAAAGCAACAATGCATTTGGGCATTTTCCTCTTGGCACATAATTGCTTGTTTTGTGACCTAAACCCCAGTATTCCTTCCAGTCCTTCATAAGGGCTATTTCTAGATGCTTTGATCCTTTCTGCAATCAAGGCAGATCAAGCAGAGGTGACAGAATTCCTGGTGCTGCCACCTTGAGCCATGCCCCTCGTGCCCTGCTCCTGGTAGGAGCCGTGGGCACGCGTTATCAGCTCCATCTATTGCAGCCATGGCAGAGCTCCCTCCCTAGCACACAGGACGCTTGGGAAATGCAGGATACCAGGCGTGCTGCACCGTGTCATTGGCTCTTGAGGAGGAGCTGAGGGAACTGCACCTCAGCAGTACTTTTCCACTTGCCTTCCCACCCAGGGGCTGCTAACCAGGCCGATGGGCCAGAGGTCACATGGAGTTTGGAATCCCTCAGCAGTTCAGTGATGCTAACGCTGAGCTATTCTCAGGTATGAGAGGTCTCAGGTGTTCCTTCCTTCCAGAGAGCACCTCCCATTAGCTAGGGAATCATTTGTATTAATTGTCACTCCAGTCTCTTCTCAATCAGCAGTACTTTGTAACTTTTTTCCATGGTCGGATAGGAACAAAACTCCTGAGCTGTCCATTTCCCACAGAACAGGAATCTCTCACAGTGCAATTGCTTTGTTGCCATAACATCAGTGTGTTTCAATTTGACAATGGTGACAATACTTTTTTTGTCAAAAGGCAGAAACGATGTATTGCATGTAAGAGATGAGACGGTAATAAACCTAATTGTGAAAGCAAATTTCAACACATAGAAATTAATGAAAATTACAGGTATCCTTTGGAGTTAGGATAAGGGAAGGGGAGCAGTGCCTCTGTAAAGGAAACTTGAAGGGAAGAAAGAGGGAGAACGCCCCGTGCAAGAGTATGGTTGGCTGATGAGCAAAAGGCTGCCTGATGAGCAGATGCACCTGGCCTGGGTACCACTGGTGCTTGGGGCTGAGGGTGTCAAGGATGTCTGGAGGCCTGGGACAAGCTTCAGCCTTTTTGGACTCTGACCCACTGGAATGAGCTAGTCAGCTTTTGATCCATTGCAAAAGAAACCTGGTAAAGGCTCTTCTTTAAATTTGTATCATCACTGCAACAGCAAAACTTCCCACACTGATCTTCAGTTCCTGAAATCTCAGCCTTTCAAAGTCAGCATTCCCACTTGACCCCCTTTTGTGGTTCTATTACAAAGAACTGACAGTTACATATACAGGGAAATTGCTCCATCTCCTGCCTAAGAAATTGTGTGACATATAAGCAAAAGAACCTCCAAGCAGAGCATGAGACAAACTTCACTAAGTGGCCTGTTCCTCAAAAATTCCATTTCCCATAAATATTTTCTCCTCTCATTTCCTGTGTCCTACTCGTTACGTTAATTGTTTAAGTCAAATCGCCCTGTGGCAATTGCTAAGATATTGGAAGCTGACTGTAACTGCCCCAGGAACACGTGAAACTCCATGGATGAGAAGGACAAGTGAAAATGGAAATCACTGATATGGCAAAGTGGAAATTGGTAAAACAATAAAAAGTCCTCTCCAACTGGCAATGGCTTACTTGGTTCAATTGGCCTTTAAATATAGATGAGAGACCTGCTCTAGGTAGAGTTTTTTAAAGACCAGAGGGCACAGGTTTGGGCTGATGTGTCTGGGCACAGGTTTGGGCTGATGTGGCTGTCCGTGACTCAGGGCCTCTGAGGTCATTCCTGCTACTGGCATGGAGAGAAAGAAAGGACAGAAAGATCCTGTAGGACCAAGGCAGCCTCTCACTTTAAACAGCGGGATGTCACCCACCAGACTGGAGAAAGGCAGTGGCATCCCTGTTGCCCCTGCACGTCTGCAAGCATGCTCAGGGGAGACACCATCTTTAAAGTCCCTCCTTTTTCTCTGGTCCTCAGGACGTTAGGGGTTTCTCCCATTGTCACCCCTGCTGCCAGTGAATTCCCTTCTCCCTTTTCCATGAAGCAGCATTTTGTCCCCAGCACCGACTCATCCTCTGCAGCCTGCACAGGCAGCATCAAAGGAACCTTGGACAAGCTGCAGCCTGTCCCTAGGAATGCCACAGGCAGGCAGAGGGAGCAGAGGGAGCACAGGACTGACCTGGCTGCTGGAGGCAGGGAACTGCAGGAGATAAAATGCACCTGTTTTATTGAAGGTGTGTTTACATCAAGGATCAGGTCCTGCCTTACTCTGCTAAAACCGTAAAGTGGAGCGGCTTTTCTGGAACAGCTCCCGAATGGGCTTGTCCAAACAGCAACCGGGGAACATCAAAAGGTGAAGTGATCACCCACAGATAAGCACCCCAACTGTCTGATCCTGAGCTACCCCCAGGAAGGGCTCCGCATCTTGTCTGCTCGCGACGAGCTGTCTCTAGAGCCTGCCCCTGTAGCAGTGCCTCTTTCCACGGTGCCTGCTCCATACGGATGGCAGAGAGCTAACTGACTGCCAGTCAACAAGTTCTGATCTCCAAAGCAAAGAAAAGCCTCACTGTGAAGCCCTTTGAGCTGAGAAGGAACGGGGGCGCAGGATTGGATCAGCGCTCGATCAGGAGTCCTCGCTGCAGTGACCCAGCCGCAGTGGGAAGCGTGTTTGCATCAACCATCACTCAGTAATTATAGCAACAGATGAGTCAAGATCAAAGTGCTTTTGCGAATGATGTGGCAAAGCAAATCGATGGAAATCTGAGCGTTTTTATCTTCACATCTGTCTTTAATGCTGACTTTCTGTCCGGCTTTAACCTGCCCTGGGATAACATCTGCGCTCCCGGTGCTGTGGTGCTGGCCCAGGCAGAGCCCCGTGCAGCGCCCGGCTCCCTGCAGGCCCCTGGCTGGCGGGGATGGCAGCAGGCGAGGTGGCCCTGGGGACAGCGGCCACTGGGCTTTGGGGCCTGATCCCCACGGCGGCTCTCAGTGCAGAAGGGCACGTTTGCTGTCACAGTGAGTCACCAGAGCCAGGTGCCCGGCTGCTTTGTGCTGACACGCCGGGGTGCTGCTGCTGCTGCTGCTGCTGCTTCCAGGGGCTGCCCCTCCCGTTATGAGCAGCCCAGCAGGCAGCTGCTCCTCCGCTGGATGCAGCCCAAGGGCTCCGGAGACGGCTTCTGATTCAGCTGCTCCTGGCCTCGCCCACCCATAAAGATAGATCCTAAGGAGGATTGAACAGGAAGGCCTCTTTATTCAGGGTGACATGGCACATGGAAACCAGGACTGACCAGCACATGGAAAGGGTACCATTTGCCAACCCCTCCAGCATAACCCACGATCACCCTTCACCTAGGCTGCATCCGTCTCCTCATCTGCTTTCTGTCACATATGCTCCCTATCAGCTTCTTTCTATCATGTGTTTATCCTGAATTTTGGGAAGAGTTAATTACTTTGCTAAGATGCTGAGCTGCAGTTGTTGGCACACCAAGCGTTCTCTTGGTGCCATGGATGGGTGAGTGCTCCGTTGATTCCACACACTGGTCTCTTGTGTGGTTGCACACTGGCTCCAGACAGCTTTCCTGCACGGTTCCTGGCTAAAGGTGTTTGAGTCACAAGCGGCACAGTGAGGAGAGAAGGCCAGGGTGGCTGTGGGTTAGGTGAAGAGAACAAATCCTGGCTTACAGAGTGTTCCTCAGGTGTCTCTGGGACAGTCTTCATCTCTCTGGGTGATCTCTGTTGCTTTAATTTGCTGTTTTAATTCCACAGGCAGTGCCTCCTGCACAGTTATCACATGGCAAGGAGGCCCACGATAAAGTTGGATAAAGTTTCGAGCTGCCTCCTGGGACTGGGCACCAAGGCCATCTAAACGTGGGATTTCCCAAATCACATCCATCATCTGGGTTTTTCCTGGCTTATGCTGAGATGCTGTGCTGCTCCTACCTGCTTATTTCCCAATAGAGCAGAGAGGCTTAATTATTGGGTTGCTAAGTTCCCAAGGGTCTTATGAATATTGAATTGGAAAAGCGAGGCATCGTGACGTACTAAACCGTGATAAATTGTTATCCAAAACTTTGTTGTAATCCAGGGGAAGTCTGCCCCCCAAACCAGCTACCCGACGTGCATTGTTTTGGTTGCTGTCATCAAAGTCTACAAGATGAACAGGCAATTCATTATCATTTTGAGTAGTGCTTTGAATGTTATCGTGTGAGCTTCTTAAAAGGTTAATCTTCTGTCCCTGGGATCCCCATGAGGAACAATTAGTGTATCCTGTGGTGAAACACTGGATTACTATTAATGAAACTTGTGCTGCCCTGGAGTTTTAATTGACTCAAGTGTTTAAACACATGCCTGACTTAAAACATGTGGGCATTCCCGTTCCTGCCACAGGAGCTAGCGATGGTTTTCACGCGATGCCAAGAAATGTTAACTGTTAACAGCGTGTTTGATCATTTATTAACCTTAGCTCCTCACATGTCCTACCCAAAATCCCTCAACAGGAAGGGCTGAGCATTTAATGTGCCCTTGAGACAAAGCAGGGCTTTGACTGTACCTTTCTTTCCCTTAGGACTTCAAGGAAGAAATGTCTGGATTCTGTCAGGGCAACAGGTGTCCAGAGATTTTTGGGTTTCTCTGAGCCACCTTCAGCTGGGGTCTGTGATACCAGGAACTGTTTTTGCCAAAATTTTCAAGACAGGAGCTAAGCTTTGACATTTGCAGATCAAACTAAACTAGCAGGATGTTTGGCAGTGGCCATGGCAGCAACAAAGCTGTACGGGGCCTCGCAGCTGAGGTGCCACGCACCGGCACTAGGGACAAAGTGGGTCCCTGGGCCATGACTGCACCTGGCTCTCACCAGAGAGACAACAGAGCTGAGGCTTTCGCTCACGTGCAGAAGGCAAAGGGAGGCTGCTGATTATTTAAAGGAAGTCAGGGTTTGACATCTATCTGTTCCCCCATCCTGCCCTTGCAATTCTCTTTTCCCATTGCAAGCTGTCGGATGGAGACGGGATTCGGGACCAGGCCTGGTGTGTATGAGCGGGATACAGCTGCACCTCAGCTCCTGCATGGACATTCCCAAGCACTCCCTCACAACTGGCTGCATTTCCTGGGCCATGTGTTGGAGCAGATGCAAGCTTCTTGCACAAGAAGGTGCAGACCTGGCTGGATTTATACCTTTGTGGGAGCAGAGGCACTGGCTGCTGCCAATGGCTCTCAGCGAGGAGCACTTCAGGCAAGTCCCATCTGTGTCCCTGTTCAATGTCATGATCTAGGAATGCAGCTACTGCTCAGGCAGCTGGCCACAGCAACTGCAGGTATGTATTTTTTTATTTGTTTATATATGTAAATCGAGTCCAAAGTCTCAGATGGTTAAGTCATGCCATGCAAGGCATGTGACAGAGTGGTTAATAGCAAGGGGTAGACAAGGATGACAGGAGGAAAGCATTTCAAAGTGGCAGCTGTGAGGTAAATCATATTGGAATTGGGTAACCTGGTTTTAGGGGAGAGGTTGGAAAGGAAGGGCGTAGCACTGGGAGAACTCTTTTTTTTTTTTTTCCCCTCTGGGAAGGGCACTGATCCTCAGACTCGGGCCCTGATTTTTATTTTACATCTGCTATTGTAGGGCTGACATGTGCCCACCAGCCTCAGTGGAGAGGGGCCTGACTGACACCAAGAGAAGTCTGAAGTTTTCAGGGCTTGCTACAGATTTTGGGACATGCTCGCAGCACAAGCAGTGTCTCTTCCTCTCCCTCTCTTCTCTCCCTCTCCTGGCCTCTCTGTGGCACATGAGAAAGGGCAGAGGGGTGAATGAAATGGGCTTGTGGATGGCACTCTGCGGGATCACACGGGAAGCCTTAACCTGAGTGGAAAATGCCCACTTTAACAGCAAGTGGATCTGAACCCGTAATTACCCGTGCCATCACGTGTCTGCTTTGCAGCTGTGTGCACAAACTAGTGACTTGTCCATGCTCTGCTAGTTCTCCACATTAAACACTCCCTGCTCCTGTCTTTCAGAAAAGAACAGAGCACCTGGTCCGATCCTCATGGAGGGGAGTGGGGACCTCTGTACGGGCTTCCAGGACAGCTGTACCCTGACACACAAACAGCCCTGTGGCAGATATCAAATGCTGTTGTTCCCTAGCAGTCTGCTGATGTTATCGCTCTTTCTTTGAGGAGTCAGAAACAACAAGATCCTACAATGACAAACCACAATGTCTCTTGCGGTACATAAAGACAGGTAAAAAACCACTACCACCAAAAAACAACAAAAAAGAAACCTTCCCAAATAATTGCAAAAAAAGAGAGCAATTCATGTCCTTTGTGTTCTTCAGCTCATGATCTGCCATAGGGGATGAGGGACCATCATGAAAGACAGACATAAAGCAGCTAGAAAATCAGATTTGGAGAGGAGAACAGGACTGTCAGAGGGGAATCATTACTCTTATACTCAAAACTCTAAATAAGAATAAAATAGTAAATAAACATTTACTGAGCTTTCAAGCCCACAATCCCAAGGACAAGGAAAAGCTTATTTTACATGAATGTTACATGTTACTTTGCAGGTTCTTGTCGGTGGCTGCTGTCACTAAATGCTGTTTATGGCACTGCCTCATGCAAAACACCACAACAGCCAGAAACTGTTTCACCAACTATTGGCTTGGTAGAAATAAAGCATTTTCATTTTTTGCCATGAGTCTTTTTTAGTTTTTGAAGTATAAGGCTAATACAAAACCAGAATGAAGAACTGGAATGGAACCTCTGATAAGCACGAGTGTCAAATTTTACAGGCTGTTGTGGCCTGTGTCATTTTGTTTCATTTGTTTGTTTTTTTCCAGAAGGGATTTCCAACCTCTTAAGCTCAAATCTTCTGAGGCTGCGAGTCCATAATAAACCAACAAGGCGATGTGAAATGTGTTAAGGACTAAACTCGTGTCCAAAGCCAGTCCAGCAGAGAATAAGAGGTGTGCAGGCACTCAGCAGGGATGGATGCACACTGACATCCTGATGTCGCCCTTCAGCCAGGGAAGCTGGGGCAGGAAAACTAAGTGGCTTTAAACTGGAGCATGATAAATGCATTAACTGGATTATTTAAGGTGTTAGTTTGCCATGCAGTGCCTGGACTTGATGCACTGAATTACTTTCCAGTCCTGTATTCCTACACAAAACTAAGTCCTACTAAGGACTATTTTAAGTCCTGCAAATAAAAGTGCTCCCTGATCTCCCTGGATCTTGCATGGATGCGGCACAGAGGGGAAAAGTCAGACTGTGTGTGCAAAGTTTACTCATGCCATATTTACACTAACATCACAATCTAGAGGACTGCTGTAGGCAGATGCTGACCTGCATTTTGAGGTTGGATTGAAGGCATTCACTCCAGCAAGCCATATTAGCTCAGCCATTTCCTTGCTAGATACCCTTGGCAGGTCTGCCCTAGAAAAGGAGTCGCTCCAGATCTAGAAAGATGCCAGGAGGGTTGAGCAATGTGCCCTTAGACTGCTGTGTCCTGTCATCAGCAGCCCATACGATTTCATCAGTTACCAAGGCCTAACACTCTCATGGCCCTTTGGACTCTGACAGTTCATTGCCTTTTCCAGAGCTGTCAGACAGAAGGGAAAAGTATTTTTTTCAGTCACTGCTGTTTGTTTTTCCACTATGAACTCCTCCAACTCCCTGGTGTCAAAATACCTGGCAGGGCTGCCACGTTGGTACTGCTTGTTTGTCCCGTTAGTGCGATGCTGTGGCTGGTGGGAATTTGGCTGGCCCTGGGGAAGCCAGCCACATCAAACACCTGCGCTCCGAGTCGCACGGGGATTGTGCCGCCTGTTCATTCCCTGCTGGGACTCAGGCAGGTCGGAGCTCTGGGGGAAGATCATCCCCCAAGATGAGGTCGCTGCACCAATGAGAATGATGTCCATAAATGATATGGGGTTAATGTGGGGAGCACAGTGATTCCACCAGTGTAGGAGACACCCCAGCCCCCCCTGGTACTGGCCATACATGGGGTCCTAGAAGTCAGCTATAAGCTGTAAGCTTCATTTCATATTCATGAAATACCATGTAACCTTACAAGGTCAAGTGCTACATCCACATCTGCATCACCAGGTTTGGTTGCCCTCTTTGCAGAAGGCCCAGAAACTCAGGCAGGTCAGCTGCAGCCCCTGCTCCTGTACAGCCTCACCTAGAGAAGCACCTGCAAATCCAGTTCGGTCCCTGGCAAAACGTGAGTGGAGCAGTGGTACAGACCATACTCCAGGGTGGAGACTCTTCTCCCCAAACCAGCTGCAATTGTTTGTTGTGTAATGGTGCCAATGAAGTTTTGTAACTCCCTCACACACTGGGAGGATTCATTTGATCAAAAGAGCAATTTCACTTTCTGGCATCTACCATCCATCAGAAATTCCAGGCCAGAGCTTTAAAGAGCAACTAATGACTTAAGATCTTATGACTGCTAAACATTTCAACCGAGGCACCTCGTCAGGCATGCAGAGTCCTCCTCTCCAAACCTCTTCCTCAGAGCAGACATCAAAACTGTGGGTTGCCCCACAAGCCCTAGCCAGGCCCTGATGTGGAGTTAGCAGCTGTTCAAGATGAGTCACAAAAGGTCCTCCTGAACCAAAATGTCAGCTCTAACCCCCAGATGAAGACCCCTGCCAAGGATCCCCTCCCTCAGCTATGGGACCACATACAAGCTTCAGGTGCAGCGGTGCCACAGGCACGAGGGGCACAGCCTAGGAACGCTCCAGGGCTGTGGCACAGGCTGCAAGTCTTGGCAGAGCTGACAGCCTTATGGCAACACCAAAGCACAACCACTCTCTGCCTCGTGCCAGGCTCTGGATCCTGCACAGCCAGCTGGCAACACGTGAGGGGGATAAGGACACCGGGCAGGGTTGAACACTGAGGGTCTGATGGAAGCTGGCTCTGTTTTGGACATGCTTTGGACAAGATTGGGCTTTCTTTGTGGGATCCTGCAGGGCACACCTAGCTAAGCAGCTCCAAGATCCTTCCATCCAGAGACTGACCCTGTTTGGGAAGTATGAATCCAGTGAAGCTTGACAACTTTCTTATGGCTAAAGGTCTTTAGTTAAGCTCTGAAAAAAGCATCCTGCCTCCCCATAACCCATCTTGAACTCTGCCCTACACCAATCCCCAGCAAAATGGTACCTGCATCTGTTCCACTGAGGCATACAATCAAACAGTGACTCATTGTCACAATCCTTATTCATGCATTTATTGCCCAGATAACTCTCCATTAAGCTAATGAGTCATTCTTTTACACCCACCAAATGCATAGTTTGAATGCTGCTGATTTCTGCTATTCATAAATCGGAAGGAGAGGAAGAACAGACATGAGCCTTGATCCGGAAAATTTGCCTCTAGTGGCAAGCTCAAGGAATTCAAGCTTTTCCGTGTACATTCCCAGGAACAAGCAAGGCTCTGGTATGTTCTGTTCTTCAGACCAGCACAGGAGAGCTAATGCTTGGTGAAGTGCCTCATGCCAGTCCGCTTCTGTTAGCCAGGGCTCCCAGGCCTTGGGTGCCCAGGACTCATTGGCCACGTTGGAAGCAGCTTTGCTGAGATTAGCAGGCACCTTTATTCCAGGCATCACTAAATTCTAAGTAAGGCAGGAGATAAACTGTTTGGCATAACATTAACTGTATGGATGTACAATCCATGCAAACTTTTCCAACGTATTAAACTAAGAACTTCCAGGTGTTGCTAGTTTGGCAATATTTTGAGTCATTTATTTTTTACATGCCTGGTGTGGTCTGGAACACAAAGCTGTAGCTACATGCTCTCTTGATCTCTTTCAGCAGTGCTCTGCAGCTGAGATGAGCTGCTTGAGCCTTGTAAATAAAACAGGTGACCAGAAAAGCTCCACTGGCTTTGGCTCTGGTTTGTGCTGCCGGGAGTGTGCCAGCAGCCCTGGGTCTCACACTGACCTTTCCCCCTGGCAGAGCAGTGGTGCCCTCAGACAGGGCGCTGGCAGCTGCTTATGGCAACAGCCAACCGGTTCAGCCTCTTGAGGCTTATCACACAGTTTGCATAAACACTGGGATCAGAGCAAGAATGAAGGAAGCATGGGCTGAGCTTTAGAAAGGCTTTATTCTGCAGTTTTCTTATCTGCTCTACTCTGTCTGTCCCCTCCATGCCTGTTTAAAGGACTTGCTCCCCAAGAACTCATGATGATCCCAGCTTTCGTCTGGATTGGTGCCTAGAGCTGGAGCCTGCAGGCTCTCTGAGGGGAGCTTGCTCTTGAGTGCTCTTGCAGTTCCATCCAATGTAATTCCCTCTGGCCAGCCCAGATTTGAATCCAAGGGGACTGTTCTGGAAGGGAGCACCGAGTAAACCAGTCCATATACACTCGTGAGGAAGCGGGTCCCATGGCTCCCCTCTGCCTCTGGAACTCCAGACTCCTCACTGGACTGCAGGAGCTTTTGCAAATATTCCATGTTTCCCCTTCTAAACAACTAGGCACATATTTAAATGCTGAGCTCTCCTTGCTAGACACTGCTGCTAGTTCCCTGGACTCGCAGAGGATCCCAGGACTATCATCTCTGCTAAGAAAAAAAGTTCTCCCATCTGTTCAAAAGGGGAAGGATGTAATATTGACCAATACTGAGAAATGTATTCTCCTGGTTTCAGAGGCAGTTATTGGAATGTGGTTGGTATTCAAATGATAACTTACACCTGTAGCAACTTGCTGAGTGATACCTTGAATCACACTGCGATAAAGGGACGTGTTTGAAGTTTTTGAAGGCAGTACCTCACTATCATTCCCCTTCAGTGCTGTCACTCAGAGCTCTGCAGCCTTGCCTGTGTCAGCAGGGAGTCAGACTTAACTTCCCATTCATCAAATTCTAAAACTCATCTGGGCGTACTCAACCATTGATTAAAAACAGGCACTGGATAAAACAAGGAGAACAATCTTTTCCTGGACACATTAATACAAAGAGCAAAGGTGTGTTTTCCACCAGAGACTGCAAGCTGCAGCCCAAGACCCTTCCAGCCACCCTTCCAGGGAGCCCAGCGCAGGCCATGTCATGCACATCTTGGTGTGTCGGCTTCTCTTGTTTCCAGGCGCTCTCTCCAAGAGAAATGGGCTTCAACTGCTCCTGCCACCAGGCCTGACAGGGGAGCGCTAACACACCCACCGGCTGTGAGCAGGTCTGTGAGTGCACATCAAAGCTGATCCCACCTCGCAGCAGCAGCCACCACCAGCACATTCCAGAGCAACAAGAGCCCTGCCAAAGGCAGACGGAGAACCCTGTGGCCTCCGAACCTCTCCACCCACTGCCGACTTCCATTAATTAATTAACTCTGCAGCTTTGTTCCCTTATCATCATCCTCCCAGCAACAGCATGATAAATTGTACTTGCAACAGATGCCTAAACAAGATGATCCCAGGTCTTTGCAACTTGAATCAAGGGTGGGAAACCTGCAGCTTTGTGGTGATCTCCAATTCATTCATTATACAATCGGATCTTAATTGCTTTAAGAATGTGATTCTAGTCAATCTGGCCTCTAGTACCACTCCTATTAGAGACTTCTGTTGCTAAATCTCTGCTGCTAAATACAGTCAGTCCATCCCTTGAAGTCTTCTTTTATTTCAGTGGGCTCTGAAGTATTGAATTATCTGT